TATATATATATTCATTTTGAATATATTAAAGTATTAATTAACTTTTGTGTGCACCGTTTTCGGCACTTAAGACAATTGATTTTTGCTAGTTATATAATACATATAGTTATTGTATTGTATAATATGATATTATAAATGACATTTAAAGCAAATGTATAGTACATATAGTTACTATTAATAAATATACCCGGATGTCTTTAGAGACAAATAAGTAGTATTACTGTATCTAAAGTAAGTTTTTTATATCATATTTAGTAGTATTTATGAGAAATATTTACTTCAAAAATAATGATCCCGTTGCAAATACAGTATAATCCAAAAACATGTATTATTTTTTTGTATAGCTTTATGCGTGGATTTAAATGTCAATTGAAATCTTTACTTAAATACTGTGTCTGTGTTTCGCAATTCAAGGGTTTGACATTACTTTTCAAGGGAACGGTATTAACATTCAGTCAACGATTTATATTTAGATATGTCAAATATTCTTGTTAATACAGTAGGCATGCATTGTTTAAGTGTACACTATACCAGTATACCTGGTTACTTATATTCACAAAATTTTTTTATAAGTAATTAACAGTTAATTTTTTAAATTAAAGTTTTGCATATATTACATCGTAAATTCTATATGGCATAAATTATGGACTTTTGAATTAAATTAATATAATATAATTCATATAAATTGCAATTTATAATGTATTAGTTTTCACAAGTTTTGCGAGGTACGATTTATTCAGCAATGGGTAGAGATATTGAAAATATTTTTAAACCTCAACCATGTAGGGAGAATACACGACCCCTGACATGACAGATGCCACGACCACTGCAACCCAGGCCTGGGCACTAACCCTCAGTGCACCGGTAGATGCAGCTGTGTATGTCAGTCTACTCGAGTGCGATGCCAACACTGGACTCCTGTGCACGTCCCTCGACTTTGTACGTACCGGTGCTGTAAACCTGTCTATGAACTTCCAGTCCTACGACCCGGTATCGTTACCGGCGGTTGACAGTTACCCTGCTCAAATGGGATGAATTGAATTTTCAATATAATTTTTAAAATATTAATTAAATTAATTATATATTATATAATATATTAATTAATACTATTTTTATATAGATATATAATAATTTAATTTTTAATATGTTAAATAATTTTATTTCAAATCAAATATTGCTATCAAATATCTCAATTGTTATTATTAAGTTATTAACTTAATAACTTATTATTATATTATAGTATTATTATTATATCTAGTACAAAAATATAAATATATTTATTTAATATGATTGTATATTTAGTATACTGTAATTGTTAATTGTAACTTAATACACTATTTT